ACTGTTCCTGGGGTGGGATGGGTGGGTTAATAGCAGGTTCACATCAGCTGTTTAGCTGCCACCACTCACCTGCTCTAACAAATAAAGCTTACTTACTTACGTACTACTTACACTTTCGTTACTGGGTTACGTAATATTTCCCCTTCCATCTTCCTCTTCTGTGTGACTTTTCAAATATAGATTTCGAAAGAAAGAAAGAAAGAAAGAAAGAAAGACAATAAACGGTAACTACTTTTTAATAAGCTTGGCAAAAATAAATAAATAAATAAATAAACGATGAACTAATGATACTTGGAAAAGAATGATAACGACTACTGGATTTATTTTATCAAAATTCTAATCATGCTAATTCACCTGCAGAGATTAAATTTTGTCGAGGAGTTACGCTCTTGTGTAAATGTGCATTGCCACGATGTATTAGCATCCCCCAGGAACTGATAAGTTTCTGATATAAATATGATAGAAAGAAGTTCCAATTAGATTCATATGTGATCTACTATCACAATGGAGCTATATGCTGGTGGGTTCCAGTAATGGGCTCGATCCTAGATCCCCTCCCTCCCACCTAGAGGAAACTAGTAGTTCCAAAAGATGGAATTATGCTTATGTGGTGCGACAAGCATATAACGAGTTGTATGGAAACTTACTCTGAACAGTCGCATTCTTAACCGAAAAACCTGAACAAGTTTTAAATAATATTAAATCTTTTGTGTTCAGTCCACGCCTTCAGTTCCCCTTTTTAACATTCTTACGAAAACAAGATAAACAGCTGTCAATCAGCTCCATCACAAGATTCGAAAAACAAAATAAAAGAACATAAAAGAAAGTAAAAGACGTTTCGAGCGTTAGCCCTTCACTCCAACGAAGGGCTAACGCTCGAAACGTCAGTTTTTGTAATCGTTACGGTGGCCAATTTACCATTTCAACTTTGATGAAAATTATTGAGTGGAGTGCAGTCTGGTCTGAAATAATAGTCACATCATTTCAAAAACAAACAAGCATACAGAGCAAGTTAGATTGAGATCATAATATGATCTCAGACCAAAATTGTACTCCAGTCAGTTCAATTACCATTATTTACAAGCGTCCTTCAATTAACCATAAAACAACGCTTTAAATTTGTTTGATTCACTTCTTCAAGGCTAAAATTAAATCCAGAAGGGGCTCGAGATCTTGTCAAATTGAGCAGAGTACAATAACCACTTTATTACATTTATTTTGAAAGTGCAAAATTCAGTCACTCCAATTCAGGGTGTTTTGGTTAATACAAATTTACTATTGATCTAGTATTGAGCTTGTTTGTAAACAGTTGCCAAGGTTGTCTTTCATTTTCCTGCAATTTGATTGGTTCCTTCAAACAAGCCTTGAAATATGATTGGTAGTTGTGTTTTAGTAATGCTGTCTCATTGGCTAGAAAAAAGATGCAACTTAGGGCATAAAATGGTGCAGTTCGCGAGTAAATTGGACCAATCAGAGCCAATCAGATTGCAAGAATTACCAGTAATTTCAGACGGGTGTAAAAAAAATTGTAATCATTCTGCTAGATAAGTATAAAAGGATAGACTTTGGCACAACTCTTTCAAATAAATATTTATAGAAGTTACTGTTTGTTAAATGATTCTGTTTACTTACTGACTGTGTGTACTTATTTAATCTTGGTTTGTCATTTGAAGTGTGAATGTCCATTAAGAACAAATTTAAGAGTTAAGATGGAATGAAAATACACTTCGAGCAAAAAATGTGGACACCTAAGAAGTGATGACCATGAAGGATGAGACCCTATTACTTTTTGGGAAATGCTCATGTAGATACATAAACATTGATTCACTTTTCTCACTATTTGTGAAAAACCTTGGAAAACATGGATAGCTTCCATCATTCATCGCATGCTGAAATAGTGGCTATTAATTGTCTAATGGTGAACCCAGAAATCCTTATGATCTTGTCTTTCATTCTCAACATTTTCTAAGCACTGGACTGTTGTGTGGGAGGTCGAGGGTTCGAGCCCTGGCCAGACCAATACTCAAGGTCTTAAAATAATTGAGAAGAATAGGCTGCTTTTCTATAACGTCAAGTAATGGTTAGATATTCTAGTCTTCTCGGATAGGGACGGATAAATGGAGGTCCCCTCTCCTGCAGGAGGGGTAGGAGATGTTAATTTCCCACGCACAAGATGACTGTGTGATGGATGTCCTTCCCCAGGGTGGGTTGGGTTTAGGTGGATGAACCAAGTAGGGGACTATGTGTCCTATTGTTCTTCCACCTGTACAATGTACAGTCTTTAGAAACATAGAAACTTAAATCAGCTCAAACTTAGGATAGCAGTAACTGATGGAGTCTGAGATCATTTCTGGTTCTGAGCATTTAGCATTATTTCAATCATGCAGTTCAATGCTTATACAATAGAACAACAGGGGGAAGAAAGTCTGGAGAAAGCAGCTACAGACATATCATAATTTTAAGATATAAGACAGCAATTTTGGTTTTAAAAATAAAAAAAAGAAAATGTCAGCTTTCTAGTTTAAAGAAGAATTAGGTTGTCTTTTCGATTCCAAAGAATTTTTTGATATGGAAGAGTAAATATTGTGCAATCCTTTTAAATTTCACTTTGTATGACATTTTTTTCACACCACAAATATAATTTGACCAACCATTTCATGACCTTATTACATGACTCAGGCAGTCAGAGGGCCAATAACTAAAATCAACTAATTAAAATTCTCTATTGCCGGTCAATATTCTCTCAGTATTGGACCAGGCACTGTCCCGAATGATACCGCACTTGTGTCCCTTTGAACTTCAGTCGTATAATAAATCTCTTATTAACCAAGCTTGCTTGGGACCGTACTGGAAGAATATTGGCCCTCAGTCTTTTTTGTACGGACTGAGCGCAGTGAGGTCCGTACTGTCGATACCTCAGGTTGATACTTTCCCAGTATGGCCCTCGTGCTTGGTTAATAAGATAATATAGTTATTATCTATCAGGATTAACTCTGATGCTCTATTAAATTTTTTTTTAATACACAAGCTTCCTCTTTGTCAACAATTGAGCAAAACATAAGCTTGGTGTAACTTTAAAAGCCAAATAAGTTCATGATAACAGCCTACGTGATTGAATAAGTGTTGTTCTTGGCATTACGGTTCAGACTTCTTTAATTTCATGGACTGAAACAGAAGTTGAAGCTACTCATGAGCCTATATTGTTAAGAACAAAATGATCAGCTTTCATTCATCAATAATAAAAAGCATTGTTTTTCAGAGGAAGTACATTTCCTCTTATCACATTAATATATAATATTAACACACAACAATCTGGTGTTCATCATTTGATTAAAATCAGGAACATTATTACATGGGGTTTCCTTCTTATTATGTACATGGTTCTCTATGTGTAATGCATTGTGAGATGGGGATTGAAGTAAAAGCACTTGAGCACTTAATTTTCACCTTATTTCGAAAAAGTTGTACCTCTGCCAAATTTCACTCTGAGACTTAAGGTTCCCAGTTGCAGGGGGCAAACCACCTCATGGATTTTTATTTTGTGAATTTTCTCAGATGATCTGCGAACCTCTCTAAAAATAATGCCATATCTGCTGTATGAAATAGGCACAAAATATGAGATATGAAAAATAAACTATAGCACATTTGACATAAAACATATGGCTAAAAATATGATAACTGATGAAAGTTTCTAGCATAAATATCACAGGTGTGCCTGTTTATGGAAATGCATGATGAAATGGGCAAATATTTATTTAGTGGTCTAACCTACCTGCATGACGGAAAAACTAATTCAATGCAATGCGTCAAAACAATCTTCAGCTCTATTTGATTTGATGCTGAAAGGGATACCTCGGCATCAGCTTTCGATGTTGTCGGCTGGAGTACATTAACATATCATCCAGATGGACAAACTTAGAAAGTGCTTTGTTTTAGGAGTACGCGAGAGAAGATACTTATCCACTCCACCAATCGTGTTGGGCTGAATGTTTTCCACACTCTGTTGCAATAAACCAAGCAATCTTGAGGCTTTCAAGTTTCAAGGTTGAAATATTTACGCCTAATGTTGTCTTCACTTATCTGCTAGCGATTCTTAATTGCCTTGGGTATAGAGTGTCGCTTGACTGATACAAAGCTCTCTCTTCCACGCAACAATAGGGCTTATCTTGAGAAACTTCCACCTTCTTCCTGTGCATTTTCGAAATTATTACCTCAAGCAAAGGAGATTATAATTACGCAAAATTAAGCTCGAACTACTGGAAATTTTATTTTGTACGACCGCTTGAGAATCGGGTCCTCACCGTTGAACGAAAGCGTGATCGATATTGTTTTTATTCACAAATAAGGGACACTGTTGGCTGAAAACCAAACATATATCACAATTTCGACTGACAGTGGTTGCAAATATTTAGAGGCAGTCCTTTATCGGCGAGGTGGTCATTTAACTAGGTGAATGTCGGCACTCTTTAAGTTTCAAAGGATTTCTCTAAAACTGTGTAGCTATCGAAAGCATGTAGCTCGCTCGACTTAGGGCAATCTATCATTTTGAAGAGAGGAGCGCATTTTCTACCGTTAAGCTGAAGAATGTAAATAGAATAAAGCAGACGTCAACAATTTAGAAGTGATCTTTGCATTTTTCGACTATTTAGCGAGTATTTGATGTCAAATTCAATTTACCTAATGCTCGTCCGCGACCACTTGCCAATATCTGTACTTTGACATCAAATTTTGAACACTTTTGACGACTTTTCCGTTGTTTCCTGCAAAAACGTTACATGTAGATGTGTCAGCGCATTCCGTGCCGATTCTTTTCCTAACATCGAAAGGCACTTCGTCGAGAAAACCCCAAAATATCCGGAGACCATGCCGCCCGTTCGCACATAAATTAATTCCTTTCACAATACAGACAAACAGCTCTGTGCACAACAAAGATGAAAATGTTCTTCAAAAAGATTATTTATTACAAAAAACGAGCCGAATCTCGCGGCCCTCTTTCACATGCCTGTGCAATTTCAAAAACGAGGTCTACATGCGAATAATTGAATCTCCCAAAGGCGCAACTTCAGCCGTTCAAACTTTGAAGAAAACTCGCTACACTTAAGCGATAAATATCTCCCAGTAGTTGCTTTTTCTTTCCTTTACGCCACATTCAACCTTAGAATGGAGATTTGAGAGTCTACATTCGTCGATTCATTTCATAAAATTACCTTAGATCACAAGATATTCGTAAACATACGACCCTTGCAAAGGCAACGTTCTACCGAACTCTACGGCGAAGTTGCGACGTATTTAGTGTAAAAAATCATATGCTATATCATGTGTGTATACTCATATCATACAGTTATGCTTTCATAAATGATTTCTTGTCCCCAAAAAAACAAGACATTTAAAATAATCATTATCACTTTAACTTGAGTATCATATACAAAAAAATCTTAAAAAAATTGGTTGAGAATGAAGGCTACATAGGTCAGAAATACCTACTTATCATAACCCCACATTTTACGAAAATGAATCCGTGGTAACTCACTTCGCTTTCAAATAAAACCATAAAAACAAACCCAATTACGAAAAAGGTATCTTTTTCAACCTTTTCTTTGCGAGTTAACATAGTTTTAAAACGCGATTTTATAGCAGTATTGCGTTGGGAGATGGAGTCGTTCCGAGGTTATGCTCAATCGAGCGAACTACTTGCAGCAAATTGTCTATATTTTAGGCGTGTTACGTACACTACTAGTTACCTCGACTAGAAAAACTCACTTGTGTCCGTAAAAAAGTTCAGCTTATAAAATAATGTCTCCACTCTGTTCAAACAAAGGCCTCTTTGCCAGTATCGCCTTGAAGTTTGTAGGTGTCTTTGTAGCCGATATCACTGAGAGCATAGCTACCTTCGTCTCGCTTCCGGAGGCGATAAACCAAAAATGCGATCAGAATAACGGCACATACAGCTCCCACGACGACTGCAGCAATAACCTCAGTAGTTAGAACTCTAAGAACACTTTCATTGTTCTCTTCGGTTAGCGTCTCAGCGTTCGGAGAATCTTCTTTAGGCTCGTCGTCATCTCTGATTGAGAAACCGCCAGCCATCGATTCGTCATTTTCATCCGTTGGCCCATCTATAAGTTCGTTGCCTCCTACGTCATGCGTCGGTTTTTCAGTGCTATCTGTTATTTCGTTAAGGTTTACTGTGGTCTGTTCGGTTTTGGTGTCTGGTTTTTTGGTGGACGGCGTAACAACAGAAACGTCCACTTGAGACTCTCCACTGCCACTCGCACTTTCATCTGACACAGTTCCAGACCCATAATCGTCATCCTCGTCGTCTCCTTCGCCGTCAAAACTTTCCGCAGATGTGGTGCTTTTCGATTCTTTTAACAAAGGAAAATCTGTGTCGCTATCGATGTCAATCGAGTCATCGTCGTTCGCCACCGTGCTGGCGATTGCGAAGGCAACACAAACAACAAAAACACTAAAAAGAAGCAATTTAGGCCTCATGTTTGTCCAATACGTCCTTAATCCCGTTCAATTTCGATACTCCTCGTCAATCAAGGATTCCTGAGTCACAAAAATCCGTCAAAACTTTAAAAAACAGGCGCTAAATTCACGATGCTCGATATCCCGGTTGAACTGCCTTTAGAAGCTTTCGCACCCGTCATTCTTGAGCATTCTTTAGGGTAACTGTCAATCAAATGACGTCATGTCCGGCATGTGCTATTTGTGGGAAAGCCAATCATTGGGAAAGATTTCAGATCAAAGGAATTTTCCGGACAAGTGGTCACATAATAGATGGACGCCTTGTTAACAACAAGTGCTTCAAAGACCTACTATAAAGTACAAAATCCGCATCAGGAAATAAACAGACCCTTACCACTTCATCAAGGGTTGGCATGAATTAAATCGATGTTGCGTTACGTCACGCCGGGACGCCCCCGATTTCGACACACCATCGACTTTCTATTCGTGTCGGAAAATTCCGGTAGAATTCGGAAATCGAAACGATAAAGAAAAAATATCTCATTACAGATAATCTTTAAATAGCTTCAACCATAGTTGAATCGTCCCCTCGATTAACTGTGCTTCGACAAAACAGAAAATTATATCATTCAACCCAAATCACATGAAACACATCAGTAAGCATTTGTTTTCATTTGTTTTTTTTGTTTCTTTTGTTTTTTTCGAAATCCCTACAGACCGTGGGCATATTTTGTCCATCGAGTCGATAATTTTTTTTTTCTTATTTTACTCAATTCTCGTCGCTTATGGTGTCGTCGAAATTACTGTAAGTCTCCAATCCTTAATCTTGCTGATTCAACATCTGAAGATTTGCTCGCAGACGAAATTTCGACCGGTTCTATTCACATCAAATCAAACTTGTTAACTCCAAAGGGAAAATCGCACCAATGTCAATTACACAGGAAGTATATAATTATTTTTGTTAAATCTTGTTTACTTTCAAATCATCACTATCCTTTTACGTGTCAACCTTTGAGTTCGGATCATGAGTTCTGAAAAAAGGGGGAAAAGTCCCGTTCAGGCAGGGATCTAGATTTCTCGCAATTCTTTCCCCCCTCAACCAATAAAAGTTCATATTCCAAAAAAGTTTTAATATCCGGTTTATCACACTGTTTTTCTGGAATTATGATTATACGTAGTTTGTCAGCTTGCTTTCGCCGCTACTCAAGCGTATAATCCTCACTTGTGGTTCAAAGTTCTTTTTACAGTGGAACTAGATACTACAATTATCGATCTCCCACGGAGCTAAACAGAATGAGCTCTTCTCATCACGCGACCAACGCGTTATGGTTTATTGTTCATTGCCGGTTTGAGCTTGCGTGGGTATCGCGCGTGGGCTAGCTTGTCTTTTCTTCCTACCTCAGGGGCCATGGAGGCCTGTAACATGTGTTGAAATACCTGAACGGATGTACGAGGAGGGGCATATCACGTAAAAAGAAAACGCATTGTTATTTGAGGGTGTTTTTTGTTTTTTAGTTCTATTTTTCAGTTTTTCTTCTAAAAGAAAATGTGATCGATTTAAGATATTTCTGACACGCAAAGGAAGTTCGCATCATGTGGTACAATGTTCCATTCCAGTAGTAATTTTCCAGAGCTGATTTCAAAGCTTCCAAACGTGATCGTTAGCAGGTAATTTTGGTTATTTACTTGCGTCACGACTCAATGCAACCGGCAAAAATAAACTTCAAAGGAATCTTGGACAATTAGACATTAATTTCATTTACCAAATTAAAAATCGTGCTTAATTTTTAAACGTAACTCGATTCTCCCTTCGAAACGCACGTTAGCAATACGCGCTCGAACGCGTGGTTTAATTCATGAGATCTAGAATGGATTGAGGAAGTTGGAGTGGGATTCGACGGCGTGGATATGAATTATCTTTGGGTAAAATAAAGTTACCAATGCAATAACGCATAGTTAAATTCGAGAATCGTGGTGAGCAAGTAATGGAGAGCCACATTGAACATTGAAATCAGATCTGAGAAAATATGCTCCCAATGAAACCATGCAGTTGGTCATCTGAAAAGTATGCGATGAAATACCTGTGGAGAATATAATGGTATTAGCCTTCTGCTTACGAAAACCACACAGCAGGACCTCAAACCATTTCAAATTTCATTAAGAGCGACTTTCGCCCTCACTGAATGAGTCGTCTTAAAGTGGTTCGAGATTGGCGAAAATACTAAATTTTTTAAATACGTTCTGAAAATGAAGTTGTTGCAAATAAGCAAGGTCACCATTTTATGACCGCGTTTCACCATCTTTATTATAATTAATGCCTGTAAAGAAATGCAATCACAGAATATAGAGAATTCTTCACAAGAGAGATACCGGAATTATTGCGAGTAAACAATATCAAGCTAAGTATTCTGATTTTAAGAACAACAGTTGGCTTCTTTCCCATAAGATAATTCTATTTTGATATAATAACAGTGTTTGCAAAAAATGATTAAGAAACGGAGGATAACAATTGCCATTTGTATCAGTAGAATAAATCGCACGAAAACACCCTAAAAAAGAAAAACAGCCTGGAAAAAATCACAATACATCGCCAAAACGGCGTCGAACTAACATGTACAAGAAAGGAATTGTCTCTCGCTCACAGCTCATAAAATTTTGATGAGGTTTCCGTATGCGCTACAACCGAACTATATTAGGCACTCGAAATAAATAAACTATGAAATGAAGTTCGTGCCGTGCCAAGTATCATGCATAATGATGAGATCTTAGAATTTTCATAGTATCAACTGATCATGAACTGTCAATGTAGAAAAAAAACATATCATACTTCTAAATTAACCTTTGGGTAGGGTGAAGTTCCAAGTTTTTTATTACGCTTTACGCTTTGGATTAAAATTTAGCCCAAAATGTTTCAGCTTTTCCGCCAGTTTCAGTCTTTGCGTGTCAGACTTTAGGAACCTTCAGTATAACAGTTCCTCTCGAACGTATTCCTCTATCCAGTTGTCTATCCAAATCTTAGCTATCAATATCTAGTAATTTCCTTTAAGCTGAAGGTGACTCTAAGTTCCTTCAGCCCATATGATGTGTTTTGATCTCTGAGAGGTACATGTATGCAATAACAATCTCCTGGCAATAATTGATATTAAAAAAAAAAAAAGAAATAAACCTTGACTCATTTGTTTCAAGGTACGGAGTCACTCATATCTTTTGATTGCGAAGTCGGCCCTCTGTTACGAACTCTTCTTACCTTGCAAGAAAATGTGAGTCTGCGAGAGATCTGCAAGACCATCGAGGGGTCGAGCACTGCATGATTATTAGTCATAGATCCTGGGTTAAAATCTCCCTAACTCGTCTCAAATCTTCTGCGGGCGCAGAAAAGCGCATCGTGCAGCCTTAATATACTTCTGCTCACAAGCTCAGATTGTGATCGATGTTTTGACTACTACACTACTCTTGATCTTCGTCGGTCGATGAGGTCCGTTGACGACGCTTTGCGGAGAACTTCTGATCACGAGAACTTCTGATCACGAGTTTTTGATGCCGCTCGTTGATTTATTTTAATTCTTTTTCAAAACAAAAAAAACCTGTCTATTTTCTCAATATGCTGCAAGACGTGAAAACACTTGAAATATTTCGTTTTCCAAGTGCTGCTGAGTCACGTCTTAAGAAATGGGTGTTACACCGCTTCCCGGTTAGCTCAATGGATAGACCGCTGGACTGTTGTGCGGGAGGTCGAGGGTTCGAGCCCCGGCCGACCACCGTTCAAGGTCTTAAAATAATTGAGAAGAATATGCTACCTTTCTACAACATCAAGAAATGGTTAAATATTCTAGTCTTCTCGGATAGGGACGAATAAATGGAGGTCCCGTCTTCTGCAGGGTTAGGGTTGGGAGACGTTANATATCCAAATTATTTCGTTACTCCCACCGACGCAGCCCCAAACAGTTTCTCTAGAAACTATCAGCCTTTATTTAAAAGAACATATGAGCGAGTCAAGCTTGTTAAGAACGTGACTGTCTGTTCTGAAATAAATCCTTAATATGCAATATGAACATATTTCCAGAGGGCCATGATTGTGCAAGTTCAGTTTACCCGTGATCTTTACCTCAGTCATGTAAGTGCTATGGCGCTACTGATCAAGTAGCTATAGTGAACCTCATCGATGCTAGAATTACTGAAAAGTACCATCGTTATTTATACTAAATTTCCCATGACGCAGTTGTCAAAATTGTCTCAAATAATCCTGGATTGCAATGGTTCTCTTTACATCGCTCTCGTCGCTCTGATTGGCTTAGAAAAATCACGCTACCTTCTCCACTGACCAGATGTAACATTTTGTCCTCACGCCCGTCGCCATTCAAGTTCCTCGCTTGAGATCGATTACAATTGGAGTATAATCAGTCCTTTGTGACATTTTTGAAGTTTGGAATGGCGTAGAGACGCGTTGTGGCCTCTCGCGTACAGTACATGGCAGGAGATAACCGTATTCGTGCGTGAAGGTGGACTATTACGTAATACATTACGCATGGACTTGCCCCCTGTTGTGTGATTTCGTAATTTTTGTGGGCTGACCGAATGATGTCAGAATATGCCACACTCAGGCCAACAAATCTGTTGGTCCCACTTGACTTGCTTGTTCGTAACGCCTCAAAACTGGTTAGAAATTTGAGTAGAAAGTTTCATGTTTGAGCCATCTCCTCGATTTGGGCATTCATGTCCCAGAAGGGTGGGGGAGGGTGGCGTTTTGTTTGATTATGAGGGGATAAGAAAACTCCGCTAAGAAGGGATTTTAAAATGAAAAGTTTTTGTGGTTGAAAAGTTGTTACCGTTTCACCAAAAGAGACTGAGATGAGGTCTATAGTTGGGAAAGAATAGACTGTAATGGGATAGGGGCCATTAGAGGTCAGCTGGGATTTAGTCTCTGTTATCAAAGAGTTTTTAAAAGAGTTAATACTGGATTCCAAGAATTGGATATAGGAAACTGCAGATGAATGATAAACAAAATGTTCTATACGCATACTGTCAGTCGATTATATCTTATCAGTGTCGATGTGAAATCATATCGAACCCGATCCACGAAAAAAAGCTAGTTAACAATCACAGTTTTTTTCTCAGCTAAAGCTGCTTATTACTGTGGTCAAGTTACACTTAATCAACCCTAAGCAGTGTGGAACACAACAA